GGGGCAGGTCTGCATAGGCAGGCTCGCTGCATGACATTGTCCCACTCTACCCCTGATTCTTCTCCTCTTTTATTGGTCACCTGATTAATTAGCTTCTAATAGTTATTCAGAACCACACGTGGCTCTAATCTCCTCTGATCTTCCAAGGCTCAATTAGTTGCTCTTTCTAATGGCCACAAGCCTCAACTGGGAGGTGGTGGCAAGAGGATTGTCTGAGCTCAGGGATTTGAGACCAGCCTGGGCAACTTGGCAAGACCTTGTCTCTACAATAAATCAAAAAATTAGCTGGGCATGGTGTTACACACCTGTAGTTCCAGCTACTTGAAAGACTGAGGCAGAAGGTTTGCCTGAGCCCAGCAAGTTGAGGCTGTGTTGGCCATGAATGTGACACTGCACTCCAGCCTGGGCAAAAGAGTGAGACTCCTACTCAAGAAAGAAATGTATATATTATATGGCATTGATATCTGCTTATTTGCTATTTGTCCACTTGGCTGCTGCCCTGGATAGGGCAGAGATGATCACACATCCTTGTTTACATCTGTAAATTCGTGACTTTAAAATTAATAATTATGTCAGTTGTCCCTAAGTCATGTCTGGTTAGTGTCCTCTGAGAATGGAAATCATTTTCAGCCACACAGTTTAATAGGATTAAGAACTAAGACTGTGCTAATATGTCTTTAATTCCAGGAACCTCTAGTCCAGGAAGATGAAGTTGTAAATAGCTTTGTTTCAGGAACTTTGAGAAAATCCATTTATCTGAATACAGATGACTCAACTACTCTTTATCAGATTAATAGTCCTCAGAGCAAGAGATCACTCAACTGATTTATCAAAGAGCTGTCTACTCCTTCCTCAAGACTGACTTCAAACCCCTCTCCTCCCTGTATCCACCAACTCTAATTATTGTATCATGAATTTTGCTTGGTCCCAGTCAGCCTCTCCAGGGGCATGCACACCTGCGTTGAAAGACCCAACTTAAACCAGATCCTCTAAATTTTAGGAATATCCCATGCATGACCTCCTAAGACTACTAAGACTGTCAAGTAGTGGCCTTTCTTGTTGCACTAAGCAATGCAATTGCTAATATAAACAGATTGTTTGAATGATCTTTTTGTACTCTCAAAAGTATCCCAGTTTGAATGATAAATTAAATGATTCCTATTATTGTAAATTGTATGTTGCGCTATTTTAGCATGTAACATTTCTTGTTCTCATTTACTCCTCACCATAAACCTATGAAGTAGGTATTACTATACTACCATTGTACAGATAGGACAATTAAAGCACAGAGAAACTAAGTAACTTTCTTAAGATCACATATCTACTAAGGGGTAGAGGCAGGATTATAATAGAATGAATCTGACTCGAGAGTTGATACTCTTTTTAAAAAATTAGTTTTATTATTAATTTTAAAGTCATGAATTTACTGAAAAGTTATAAAGAACTCTCCCCTGAAAACCATTAAAGAGTAAGTTGTCAACTTGATGCCCCATCTCCTCCCAGTACTTTAGCGTGTAATTTCTCCAAGCAAGGACATTCTCCTATGTAACCATAATGCAGCCATCAACATCAGGAAACGGATATTGACAAGTAGTTGCTATCTAAGCCTCAGACCCTGTTCAGGTATTACCATTTGTCCCAAAAGTGGTCTTCACCATTGAAGAATCCTGCTCAGAATCACATATTGCGTTTAGTTCTTAGGTCTCCTTACTTTCCTCCAGCCTGGAACAGTTCCTTGGGCTTTCCTAGACTGTCATGACTTTGACACTTTTGAAGATTATGGGCTATTTTGTAAAATACCTCACTTTGAGTCTGTCTGCTGTTTCCTTATGATTAGACTCAGCATATGCATCTTTGGGAGGAGTGCCCAAAGTGAGGTGGTGTCCCCATCGTATCCTGTCAGGTGGAACAAGATTCTGATTTGTCCCATTGTTGATAATTTGTATTCTGGTACAAATTATTTGATTTAGATGGTGTCTGCCAGGTCTTTTGTTGTAAAGTTATTTTTCCCCCCTTTGTAATTGACATCTTGTGGGAAGTATGTAAAAGCTATGTAAATATCCTAGCTGGGCACAGTGGCTCACTCCTGTAATCCCAGCACTTTGGGAGGCAAAGGCAAGAGGATTGCCAGAGCCCAGGGTTTCGAGACCGGTCTGGGCAACTGGTGACACATCTCTACAATAAATTTTTTAAAAAAATTAGACAGACACAGCAGTGTGTGCTTATAGTTTCAACTACTTGGAAGGCTAAGGAGGAAGGATCTCCTGAGCCCAGCTGGTCGAGGCTATGGCCATGAGCGTGCACTGCACTCCAGCCTGGGAGACGGAGTGAGACTCTGACTCAGAAAAAAATAAAATAAAAACTATGTAAATATCCTACTTTTATTTTTATTTTTTTGAGTTGGAGTCTCACTCTGTCATCCAGGTTGGAGCGCAGTGGCATGCTCATGGCCACCCCAGCATCGACCTGCTGGGCTCCAGCAATCCTTCTGCCTCAGCCTTCCAAATAGCCAGAACTACAGGCACACGCTACCATGCCCTGCTAATTTTTGGGTTATTGCAGAGACAAGGTCTCACCAAGTTGCCCTGGCTGGTCTCAAAACCATGGGCTCAGGCAGTTCACTCACCTCAGCCTCCCAAAGTACTGGGGTTACAGGCTGAGTCACTGAACCCGGCCTAATATCCTATTCTTAATCAAACTTTCTGTTTGTTTATTTATTTATGTAATTATTGCATCAGTTTAGACTCTACCTATTTTATTCAATTGGTTGTAATTCATTACTTTCTTATTTATATATTTATTTTGAGTCAGGATCTCACTCTGTCGCCCAGGCTGGAGTGCAGTAGCATGATCATAGCTCACTGCAGCCTCAACCTCCTGGACTCAGGCCATCCTTCCTTCTCAGCCTCTCAAAGCTGGGACTACAGGCACATACTACCATGCCTGGCTAATTTTTTTTTTTTTACTTTTCTGTGTAGAGACAAGGTCTCACTATATTGTCCAGGCTGAACTTTCTTATTTCTTTCGATGCCCTGATTGTTCTAGATTTGGCCTTTGGATATGCCTTTAAACTGCCTTCCATATTTTTTTGACATGCTCCATCGTTATTTTAAGCAATTTCTTGTTTTGGTAGATGGTAAATATTTTGTACTTATCTGAGAGGCATATACAGAATTTAACTTAATTGCATTTTCTCAAAGGATGGTATTTTCTGTTAAAATAAGATATCCTCCCAGAATTTTAAATCGTGTGTCATGAGCAGATATAAATGAGAGCACCAATTTATCAATGGAAGCTTTCACAGAGTGTCTGTTATATCAAGAGAAATGAATCTGATCCATGTTTTCTCCATTAGGAGACTATATTTAGAAACTGAGCCTTTGAATAGCACTTTTTTTAGTCACTTAATTTTCAGTTTTTCATTTAAAAAACTCGTATATTTGTTATTCTGTGAACATTTATGAACAGTTCTGCAAATTCTCCGCCTTCCTTAGGAAACATTGTATATTTCAATAGTTTTTTCAGGCCCTTGAGAGGAGCGAACACCTCCTTCTTCTGGGCGCCCGCAACGTACATTCTGATCTGTGTACCACAAGCTCAGCTTCGCCATCCTGTTGTGAGCTCCTCAGGGCAGGGCCTTCATCATGCTCTCCCTTGTGAACCCTGGTCACTCTCACTCCAACCCCCTCCTTGGCCCTGGTGTGCTGTAGATGCCTAGTAAGTGCTGGTTGGACAAACCAGGTGGTCATGCACCGTGTCTCACTTCTGCCCACAGGATGGCAGCATTTAGTCAAGGCTCCAGCCCCACTAAGGGGCTGGGATCTGTCTGGGAATTTGCAAGACCCGGTTTCCTCTTGAAATGAAAACAGTGTTTCGGGTCTCTTCCTCTGAGGGAACCATCTGTAAAATAATCCAGTGTTATCTACCCACCGTCTCTTCAATAGGCTTTGTGGAAGATGACATCACTGAGGGGAATTAGATGGTGCTGTGAATTGTGGGCACACCATCCTCGAAGGGCTGTCTGGGTCCAGATTGTGTGTCAGCTCAAACTGAGCAAGCAGGCTGAACCCAGGAGCTCATTTCATGCACAAGGCATTCGATGCAAAGAGTGGCTGGTGTTATTTAAAGAAAATGGAGGAAGAAGGAACTATTGACTACCTGCTGTATGCTATGTGTTTTAAACCAGGGGTTCTCAAACTGGAGTAGACATCAGAATCACCTGGGGAGACTGGTTAAAATGCAGATTGCTGGACCCCAGAGCTTCTGATTCGGTTGGTCTGGATTGGGGCCTGAGAATTTGCATTATATTTAATTAATTCATTAATTTTATTAAGTCAGGCTGGCATGCGGTGGCAGGATGACAGCTCACTACAGCCTTGAACTCCTAGGCTCAGGCAATCCTTTCTCTTTGGCCTCCTCAGTAGCTGGGACTACAGGCACGCATCACCCTGCCCAGCTATTTTTTTATTTTTTTGTGGAGTTGAGGACTCGCTATGTTGCCTAGGTTGGTCTCAAACTCCTGGGCTCAAGCAATCCTGCCTCAGCCTCCCAAAGTGCTGGGATTAGAGGCATGAGTCACCATGTGCCTGGCAGAATGTGCATTTTAACGAATTCTCAGGTGATGCCCATGTCATTGGTCCAGAGAATCACTGCTTTAAACAATCACATTTAACCCTTAGCAGCCTTTGACATCTGTATTTTTGTCTCCATTTTGTAGGTGAGAAAACTGAGGTTCAGAAGCTGAAGTAACTTGCCTAATGACACATCCTCATGAGTGGAGAGTAGAATGTGAACCCTGGTCGGTCTCACTCCAACCCCTTGCTCTGTCCATTCTGTAGGAAAAAGGGAATGAATCATACTGGGGGGGAGGGGTTATCTCTGAATCATGGCTCCAAAAATATGAAGCAATGCCCAATACCAGTGTAATGCTTTTAATTTTTTTTGGTTATATAAATTGAGCCATTTATTATAGACTAGTGAGGTCTCAGATGGTGGAACTTCTACCGGTCTTTCAATTCCTTCAGTCTTCTGATGGTAGACTTCACCGTGACAGAAGTGGTATTGCAGTTCCAACCTCCACCAGCTACTGTGTTCATGCAGAAGCGCCAGAGCCAGATGCCCGCAGTGCGTCTCTTCATCTTGGTTTTGCCACAGGAGGAGCAAGTGTACTTGGCATGCAGGCTGATCTCAATCTTTTTCACCATTTTCTGGAGCGAGGCCCCATAGTGGGTCCCATACTTACCAACGATTCCTACCTTCTTGGTGCGTTTGGTCATCACGCCGCCAAGTAGATCCAAGCAGTAATGCTTTTAATTTTTAAGAGCTTAGCAATAATAATCCATCCTTGTGATTCATCTTGTAGGAAAGTAATAAAGAAAACCGCCAACCTGAAACAAATAAGTGCACTCGTGTGCGAGGGACTACAATTCTTTGCATTATTCATTTAAAGTTAAAATGTCTTTGAAAATGAAAATATGGACATTATAGGTATGTCATTCCCCAAACTTCAACTTTGAAAGTGGAATATAGGCCATTGCCTTACTAGACTCTGGTCTGGCCATGTGCTCTTTGAGCTATGGCTGTCACCATGTTTTCTGACTTTGGCCCCCTCCCTTGGGGAGGTGAATCATCTCTCTCTCTCTCTTTCTCTCTCTCTCTGTCTCTAGTTTATTTTTAAAATAACCTATATTTTCTAATCTAAAAAAAATAAAGTGGAATATGATGTGAAAAAAAGGCAGAAGTTTTAATAAGTAATTATAAAATCTATTAGCTTGCCCATGGATAGAGGCTGCCATTTGTCTCTGGAACTAGATTAGGAAATCAGAGCTGGTGGGCTTTCTCTAGAAGTGAATCAGCTCAGGAATGACTCGTCTGCAGGGTCCAACCATGGTTGCGCCCCCAACGTGTCAGCCCATGATGTACTGAGAAGCTGCTCTGTGTTTATTACTCAGGCACATCCTTCTGCCAACACCCCCACCCAATCTTGCATCAAAAACTAAACCTGATCTCTCCAAGACAGAAATAGATTTTACGTTAAACGTTTGTGGAGAAGGGGAAGGCCATGGAAGAAGAGAATGAGCTAGAGCTAGAGCTTCCAGTTGGGCTGAAACCAGGGGTCTCCTCCCTTTGGCCATGTTTGCACTCAGTTCTCACCTGGTTGGTCCAGACTGAACAAGTTTGCTTGTGCTGGGCTTTCAAATGCAGCCAAAGAACCTGTCATGAAGGAACAGAGGAGGGCAACAGAGGGGCCTTTACATTTACAGAGGAGACGAACCATGCTGGCCACTTCCAGTCCCGGGTGAGTCTCACCTGCAACCTGGAGTAGCTGTCGATGAAGAGAAACTTGTTTATTATAACCTATTGATCTGAACCTCCAGAGTCTGCCCCAGACCCGAAGGTTTCTGAATGTTTCTTCCTATATTCTTCCTCCAAAGGGATTACTGTAACCAAGCACTTAGAAAAGAGACATGCTTCTGTCTGGGTTCTCTGAGCATTGGGATCACCTGACAGGGCACTGGGAATAAAGAGTGTGGGGCCAGGCTGTGCATCTGAGAGACCTATGACCCCAGGGGGCATCACCTGCCCTCCCAGTCCACTCCCTGCTACTCACCAGGAGGATTGCAGGTCAAGAGCTAGGCTTTAGCCCTTTTACCCTTGTAACGTGTACTTGAGACTTCCTAGGGAATATGTGCTTACAAGGAAAAACAGAGGCTTTGAGGAACAGAATGACATAAAAGAAAGACCAGGCTGTGTGTGGTGGCTCACACCCGTAATCCAAGCACTTTGAGAGGCCAAAGCAGGAGAATCTCTTTAGCCCAAGAGTTTAAGACTAGCCTAGGCAACATAGTGAGACTTCGTCTCTGCAAAAAATAAAAAAAATTAACAGGGTATGGTGGCATGTGCTGGTAGTCCCAGCTGAGGGACTGAGGTGGAAGGATCACCTGAGCCCAGGAGTCAAGGCTGTGATGAACTGGGATTGTGCCAAATATACTCCAGCCTGGGTGACAGACTGAGAAGGGTGGGAGGAGAGAGACAGAGAGTGAGAGAGAGAGAGAGAGAGAGAGAGAGAGAGAGAGAGAGAGAAAGGAGGGAAGGAAGAAAAGAAAGACCATAATTTAAAAAACTCATACCAGACAAAGCCAAAGCCAAAATAATACTTAAAAATATGACTTGGTGGTCTGGAGGTTGGAAACCAAGGCTTTCGCTGACTGATGGGGAAGGGGGGGTGGGAGGAGGGGATGATGGGCATTATCTTGACCCAAGAGTCTCCACAGGGGCTAGGTTAAGACAGGTATCTTAGGCTGCTTCCAGTCCACGTGGAGGTCACTGCTGCTCTCCCAGCCAGCAGGAACTGCAGTCACGTGACTTCAACCCTCCCTAGAATGACCCCTTTTTATTAGATTTGGTTTCTGTTGCTGCTATGCTGGCCAGCAACTTGGCCTCACCAGGAGAACGAAGTCCCCACAACTCACCCTCGTGCCTCCTCCGTTGGAAACATATGCTTTGACACAAACAAACAAACATATTTTTCAAGGCTTCTCAAAGATAGACTCCATGGCAGAGGTACTACAAATGTTTGCATTTCTATTAATTAGGGAGCATTAGTCCTCCACCCTTTCTTTCAAGAAATTAAATTAGAGTAAAAATATCAATAACACAACTTTGTTAATTGATTTGTATACTATTTGCTGTGGACTGAATGTTTGTGTACCCCTACATTTTACATGTTGAAGCCCTAATCTATAATGTGATGGTATTCAGAGGTGGAGCTCTTGGGAGTAATTAGGTCAGGAGGGTGGAGCTTCATGAATGGAATTAGTGTCCTTATAAGAAGAGATGCTAGAGCCATTCTGTCTCCCTTCCCCTCCCCTTCCTCTTACCTTTTGCCAAGTTGTCCAGACGGGTCTCGAACCCCTGGGCTCCCAAGGCCTCTGGTCGCAAATCCTCTCGGCCTCCCAAGGCAATGAGTCATTGCGCCCGGCTTCATCATCCCTACTTTCTAGAAGCACGGAGAAATTGAGTGACTGCCCAAAGCCAGGAAGCTGATTGGCAGCAGAATGGGGCTTCAGACCCATGTGTTTGGCTCCAGAACCCCTGATTTCAGTTGCTGCCCCACATAGCACAACTTCTCAGTCGTGGCCATGCATTGGCATTGCCTGAGAGGCGTTGGAGAAACATATAAGTGCTTCCTTCCCAGTCTGGGAAATTCTGACTCCGCAGGTCTGTGCTGAAGCCGAGGAATATATATTTTAGGGATCTCCCCAGGCGATCCTGTCATGCAGGTTGAGAACCAATGGGTGTTTCAATGCAAGGAAGCTGTTATCATCAAAGTGAGGAAAATGAGGAGAGCTTTATAGAAGTGGATCTTGGGACAGGTGCAGTGGCTCCAGTCTGTAATCCCAGCACTTTGGGAGGCTGAGGTGAGAGGATTGCCTGACCCCATGGGTTTGAGACCAACCCAGGCAACATGGTGAGATCTCGTCTCTGCAATATATCAAAAAATCCGCTGGGCGTGGTAGCGTGCGCCTGTACTTCCGACTACTTGGAAGGCTGAGGCGGAAGAATCGCTGGAGACCAGCAGGTTGATGCTGGGTTGGCGATGAGCATGCTCCTGCACTCCAGCCTGGGCAATGGAGCAAGACTCCAACTCAAACAAACAAAAAAAAGAAGTGGTTCTTGAAGGATGTGGTAGAGCTTTCTAGGCAAAAGGGGATGCCATCCAGGCAGGGGGAACAGTATGTGCAAAGCCGTGGGGAATCAAAGTATATAAAACAGGTTTATAAAGGGAGTGGCGTGTATGTATAAGGCGGGGTGATTGAAGAGGAAGGTAGGGATGAGAAACAAGCCAGAAGGTAGAGACGGGAGGTTGGATGGGGGGTTGGGGTCATCACGTGACAGCCTCAGGCATCATACCAAGAACCTTTATCCTACAGACAAGGAGAACCCCTGAAGAATTGTCACGCGAGGGAGAACATCATTTGAGCTCTAGACAGTTCTTATTTATTTATTTTATTTTTTATTTTTTTAGAAAGCAGAATTTATTGAGAGGACAGAAAAGCTCCCACAGTGAGAGAAGACCCGAGGGGGTTACTTGACAGTTCTTATTTAAAAGCTCATCTTTTTGACTCCAAGAATTTCGTCATATTGAAGAAAAATGAACACAAGCAGGAGAAGGAAGAACACAATTTATAATTAATTTAGCCAGAAGCATCATAGCAATTTCTGTGAGAGAAGAGCGTGGACTGTTGAAAATGGAACACACTGTGAAGGGGCTATGATTTCATGACTTCCCTCATCTGGGAGAAAAAGGAGGAAGAAAGAGTTTTTGCACGGTACAAGGTAGAGAGGCACAATGTGGGGAGGCCCTGTCTCTGTGCCAGGCTGTACAGGGACCTAACTGGGGTCTAAAGGGGCCTAACTGGGGTCTAAAGGGGCCTAACTGGGGTCAGCAGAAGAACTCAGAGCTGCAGAGAGGAGTTGAGCACCTGCCAGAGGTTCGGAGTTGGGAGGGGGCTCCACAGGGATGAGGTGGGAAGGCAATACCACAGGGACAGGCCCCCAGCAGTGCTCCAGGCAGTACAAGGGTCTGCTGCCTCCCCAGGACCTCACAGTTTCCTGTGAGTTCTGTGCTTCACCTTTGAAGAGTCTCCTTTAAGAAATTTAGATCTCCTTTGGGAGGCTGAGATGAGTGGATTGCCTGAGCCCACGGGTTCGAGACCCGCCTGGGCAGGCGAGATCTCATCTCTACAATAAATCAAAAATCAGCCGGGCGTGGTAGCACACCTGTAATTCCAGCTACTCGGAAAGCTGAGGCGGAAGGATTGCCAGAGCCCAGCGGGTCGAGGCTGCGGTGGCCGGGAGCAGCCACTACACTCCAGTCTGGGGGACAGAGTGAGACTCCAACTCAAAAAAAAAAAAAAAAAAAAGAAATTTAGATCTCTGTCAAATGAGCTTGGGAGGAAATATTTGTCCGTTCTAACGATTTCTTGATGATTGGGAAGATTATCAAGATTGTGCTTTTAAAGCAGTAAAGCCTCTTTTTAATCACAGTGCACGATGTGCTTAGACTCCCTGGGTGCAATGTGAGCCGTGTCAGCCGCATTCTTGATTTGCAGCCCTTGGGACTCAATGTTGGGATTTCCGGCCCTCTTTGTTTTATGCTAAGAGTTGAAGCTAGGCATGGCAGGGACTAGAAAGCACGATCTTAGATGAAAAGAAACAACAGTTGAGTAAATCAGCTTCCTTTGGGTAAAACACAGAGCTTGGAAGTGCATAG